GCTGCTTATCGTACTGAATTTTGATGAGTTCAGGATAGTCCTGAGAAGACACATGACAAGGGGAAAGAGGTTGCAAAGAATTCGAAATTTCTGACAGAACTTTTCCCAAATATAGTGGCTATTCACATGCCGCAGGTCTGTTGTTTAAATTCTATAGAATTTTATATGAACTTATTCTTGATTCAGCAAATTACTGAGTGGTTTTGAGTATTGCAGGATGAAGCACTTTTATCTATTTGGAAACAACAATTGGATAAAGACGCCGATACCCTCAAAATGAAAGAAAATTTTAATAGCTTACAAACAGTAAGGCTTTCTGACCTTTAAAGTTATGAGTGCCTTGGATATAGTTTTAACCTTACATTTGTGACTCCCCGAAGGATGTTTATTTGACTTCTCTTGCATTCTTATGGAAGTGTACAATTAATGGAGATAGAAGATTTGAAATGAATATTTCTTTTACTCTATGTTGCTTCATTATACAAGTAGCACCTAGAACTCGGTTGCAATCCCCTTCTCATTTAGTTGTCCTGGGTTAAGCAAGGTTGCCTTGCTACCAGCCAGGCAAACCAAACTTCAAATGGAGCCTGGACTTTCCAAATATGTTTCCAACGCCAGTGGATCCCTGTGTATAAACAATAAGCTGACTTTAAAGTAAAATCTTCTTACTGTAGCCTTTCCATGTTAATTTATCTTCACGGTCTGTTGTCTCCTGGAACACCTCCATCTGCTGCAGAAGTTGAGCAACTCTGTCAATTTCTCAGTCATTTAGTAGCCTCCTGAAACTGAAATTCCACCCCTGTTGACTCAATACATCTGCTATATTGTCCTGATTTCCCCATCAATCAATGTATTTCCAACATTCTAAAGCTAGAGTTGGTGCTCTCTAATATTCTTTTTTTTTTAATTGTGTGAACAAGTTGAAAGCTTTATTTCTGAAGTAAATAGATTAATAATATGACTTCTATCTTTAACTACTTTCTATATGATGGTCGCTCTTTTATAGGTTCTGAGTCGGAATGGATTGGAATGTAATGGACCTGAGACATTGTGCATCAAAGACCGGAATTTCTCTGTTGAAAGTAAGCTGTTTCTTTCACTGTTTTTCCTTTTCTCTTTCGTTTTCCTTTCTCTTCCCGTAGTTTTGGGATTGGGGGTAGAGAGGGGTGTGTGACCTACATTAGATTCTCAATGTGTCGTTTAAATCCTTCATAATTCCTACCACATCCGTGTCGGCACAGGTGTGGGTGTAGGATCTACACAGGATTTGGTCAACCTAAAGGTTATTTGACTATAACAATGACTAAGAACTATAGGTTGATCAGATATTTGGTTTAATTTTGGGATTCATGTATAAGAACCAGAATACTTTGCTATTATAGGAAATATCTTGAAAAAAAAGTATTAAGTTTTAGCAAAATAATGAAGTATTCTTATCACTGTTTTGTGGTGCTTGAAGGTGCAGAGAAGGTTGTTGGATGGGCGTTGAGCCATCACTTGATGCAGAACACTCAAGTGGATCCTAACATGACACTTGTTTTATCTCCTGAGAGGTAATGGATATAGCAGCAGCTGATATTCTCATATCCATGGTTCGTTTGACTGTAATACTTGTTGAATTGAACAACTGTGGGAATCTTTTGCTATTTAACAGCATTCAGTATGGGTTGGAAGTTTTACAAGCTAAGCAAAATGACACCAAGAGCTTGAAAAAGTCACTTAAGGTGATGATAATATCCCTTATATGATGCTTTGCTAAATTTGTTTGTCATTAGAAGCTACTTAATGATATGGCAGATATTTACTTATGAACTCGTGAACAAATTTGTGTCCAACCCCAGGATGTTGCGACAGAAAATGAATTTGAGAACAGGATTCTGGATGATGTTATCCTGCCCAGTGATATTGGGGTGACATTTGATGATATTGGTGCACTTGAAAATGTCAAGGATACATTAAAAGAGCTGGTCATGCTTCCCTTACAAAGACCTGAACTTTTCTGCAAGAGTCAACTAACCAAGGTTTACATCTACATTTTGTCCATATTTTGCTTATCTAATTGTATTAGCTTGTTAAATGTTTATTGCTGATTTTCTGAAGTCCCCAAAAGAAGATACATTAAAACTTTATCTCTTGATGTCTAAATTTCCTTTTAATGTGTGTCTCCTCTTGTGCTTTTAAGTTTCTTCTCAACGTCATTTGGGCGGTTTGACAAGAAGTTTGTGCTTGATGAGAAATTTACTTCAACTTCTGTTTCTCTTTTTTGGACTTGAATTTTCAAGCATCATGTAGAGATTTGTGGTTACTTAAGAAAATTGTCGCTCTATTCATTTGCAGCCATGCAAGGGAATACTTTTGTTTGGTCCTCCTGGAACTGGGAAAACCATGCTGGCAAAAGCTGTTGCCACCGAAGCGGGTGCAAATTTTATCAATATTTCAATGTCAAGTATCACTTCAAAGGTTTGTTTCACTTGGAACTTATTTGTGCTCTATCGAGTATAGATCATGTTGTTAATAGTAGCTTCTTCGCATTATAACAGTCTTATTCAGTCTTAATCGTCTTCTTTCCCATGCTGCAGTTGTTTGGTGAGGGTGAGAAATATGTAAAAGCTGTCTTCTCGCTGGCTAGTAAAATTGCTCCCTGTGTTGTTTTTGTTGATGAAGTATGCTTCCTTAAACATTAGCATATTTCTTTCTTCTTTCCTGCGTTAAAATTCTATACTATTGCTGATCCCTTTTGTCTCCTGTTTGTTTATGCTGCCTTCCCAAGGTTGATAGTTTGCTGGGACGAAGGGAAAATTCAGGAGAACATGAGGCGATGCGCAAAATAAAAAATGAATTCATGGTGAATTGGGATGGGTTGCGCACAAAGGATTCTGAACGAGTTATGATACTTGCAGCAACAAACAGGCCATTTGACCTTGATGAGGCTGTGATAAGGCGACTGCCCCGTAGGTAAAAGAGGAAAGACTAATTTGCAGTTATTTTTTAAGTTGAGTTTCATATATCATTTCGTTAATGCCCTTTTCATGTCTTTTCTGTACAGGTTGATGGTCAATTTACCAGATGCTCCAAACAGAGCAAAAATTCTCAAAGTGATACTCGCAAAAGAAGACTTGGCTCAGGATGTTGATCTGGATTCAGTTGCAAGTATGACAAATGGATATTCAGGAAGTGACCTTAAGGTGTCTTTGCTAATCATGTTTGCATAAATAAACGACTAGTCCTGTTTCATCATTCTGAAGTTTGAAGACACTTAGTTTCTAATTTAACTCCTTTGTTATGTAGAATCTCTGTGTAACAGCTGCATATCGACCCATCAGAGAGATCGTAGAAAAGGAAAAGAAGGTACAGCTTTCCATTGTTTGATGTTTGTTCATTGATTACTTAACTGAGGGTGAAAATAACATGTTGGCTCTTCCAATAAATTTTCTCCGCAGTTTTCTTATGGATGTCTGTTCCACTTTCTTTTGATAATTTTTCATGGTCTTTAGAGGATCCTTTTGAAGCATCTTAATTCAATCATCACAGATCTGATGTGGTTCTGTGAATAGTGGTCCTGGGGGGTGGGGGGGATTTTTTTTTTGAAGTTTAAATCTTTGGTGGTTTTGGTTATCCTGCTTTCTTCCAAAAATCTTGGAGTTGATACTCTTAACAACTTGGATTTGTTAAAAGAAAAAAGGCAGTCTGGTGCACGAAAAATCCACCTTCACACAGGGTGCAAAGAAGGGCTGCACCCCATTGTAATGTAGCCACCTTGCGTCACGTGAGCTCCCTGCCTTCCACTGTTGAGGTGGAGCATTCAAACCCCATAAGTAGCATATCATCCATTTCTCCTTTCCCCCTCTCCTAATGTCTTGAGAAAATGTTTAAAAATTATCTGGCAGACTAGAAGGAAGAGAAAAATATAGATTTCCAAACTGGTTAATTTTGCTATTCTGTTCATCTGATTTGAGTTATTCTTACAAGTTGCGAGTATGATGTAGAAGGAAATTTAGGAGGCCCTTGTGTGTATATATGTGTGTGTGTGCCTCCTTAATAAACTTGCTAAAACTGGTATCTAATGCTTATAGTTGATTATAGGAACATGCTGCCGCTAGTGCAGATGGTCGACCACCTCCAGCACCATACAGCAGTGCAGACATACGACCACTGAATATGGACGACTTAAGATATTCTCATCAGCAGGTGAGTTGAAAATTTCTGGCAGTGTCTTTAAACTTTCTAAATTATTTAACTGCATTAGCATGCTGATTGGAGTGCGATTGACTGCTCCTATAGGTTTGCACAAGTGTTTCATCTGAATCCGATAATATGACTAAGCTTCTTGAGTGGAATGATCTGCATGGAGAAGGGGGATCTCGAAAGAAGCAGTCCTTCAGTTACATCATGTAAAGACTGTCTCTGTGTGTAGATGTTTATCTTCCTCCGATTTTGATTACCTCTGGGGCCAGGTCAGTTGCCTGCCCTTTTGGGTTGCTCTGAACCTTGGCCCTTTGTACAATGAGTTTTGACACGTTACAATGGTGGAGTAGACTTATAAAAATAGTTAGTTTATCTGCCTTCGTTTTGCTCACAACTTGCAGAGGGTGTTCATGATACAATGCTTTAGATGATTAGAATTGTTAAAAAGTAGTTAGTACTGTTCATTAGTCACTAAAACAGTTATTACTGTTCACTGTATTAGAGTTTGTTAGAAGCAGTTATTTTGTTAGCTGTAGCATTAGATTCCAATTCAGTTCTATTAATAGAGATGTAATACAATTGTAAATCATTGAATGATATATGATAATTCGTTCTCTTCTCTCTTTTACTCTGTTCTTCTTAGCTTCTATCTCGGAATTGCCTGATATAGCTATCTTCTTCTTCGAGGTTCAGCCTCCTAGTTGATATTATCCTTTCGATTATCGTTAATTGGATCAATTGGTATTAGAGCTGCTAGTCCTCGGCTCAGAAATCATGGTTGCTCGGGACAAAAATCAAGACAGACTTCGGAGGAAATGGAGGGAAAATTGTCACAGATACAAGAACAATTGCAGAAGTTGATGGAAGGTATGGTGAATATGAATGATAGAAATGTACAGACAGATAAGGAATTAATGGAGATCAAGCAAGCCCTAGGAAATGCGAAACAGAAGGACAAGGAAATGGATCAGAATAGAGCTGAATCATCTGTGGGTGGAGACAGAGAACAGGGGTTTTGCAATGCAGCTGGGAATTTCCAAATTCTAATGGTAAATTTCTTACCTGATGTTCGAAACTTGAATTTCCTAGATTTTCGGGGTCGGATTTGAGGGCATGGTTATATAAGGTGCATCAGTTTTTTGCCATGGATGAAGTTCCATATGTTCAGAGGGTGAGAGTAGCATCTATCCATTTGGATGGTGAAGCTATTGCTTGGCATAGATCATACTTGAAGTCTAGGAATTCAGTTATAGACCCTTCTTGGTCTGAGTATGTGTTGGCTGTTAATGAAAGATTTGGGGAGGAATTTGAAGATTCCATGGAAGCTATTAAAAATTTACAACAAACTGAGGATGTTAGAACATATAAGGCTGAGTTTGATAGGTTATTGAATGGGGTTAATTTGTCAAACGAAAATGCTATCAGCTGTTTTCTGGGAGGGTTAAAACCTGAGCTCAACAAAGCTGTTAGAATGCAAGCACCCAAAACCTTAATGCAAGCCTACAAGTTAGCTAAGTTGCAGGAAGAGGTTTTTGATGCTCAGGCTAAGTCTTGGGGAATTAATAGAACCAGCAGAAATCATACTGGTCTTCTCCCTACTCCATCTAGGTTTCTGGGTGTACAAAAACCTACTTTTTCTAGCACAACTGTCAAGAAACCTTATGAATCAAATGCTAACAGATTCAGTAATGGTAATACTGGTAGAAGGTTATTGACTGTTGCTGAGATGGATGAGAAAAGGGCTAAAAGACTGTGTTTCTTGTGTGATGAGAAGTATATGCCTGGGCATGTTTGTAAATCCAAGAAACAGTTGTATTTGGTTGAAGTTCCGGAAGATGGGGAGGTAATTACGGAGGAAGAAGTGTTAGAAGTGGATGAGTGCATGCCAATCTCCTTACAAGCATTTACTGGAAGTACATGTTATCAAACAATTAGAGTAACTGGATACCATGAAAAACAACCCTTACAGGTGCTTATTGACACAAGTAGTACTCATAATTTCATTGATGAGTCAATGGCAATGAAGTTAGGTTGTAAAGCTTTGCCTATACATGAACAATCAGTAAGTGTGGCTGATGGTAGGAAGGTTCAAACTGCTGCAGTGTGTAAGAATTTGAAATGGTTACTGCAGGGTACAACTTTCTCTTCTGATTTCCTACTACTACCATTAGGGAATGTTGACATAGTGTTGGGTGTGCAGTGGTTAAACACTTTGGGTAGGATTTTGTTTGACTTCAGAAATAGAACTATTGAGTTTGTGCACCTGGGAAGAAAACATGTTTTAAGGGGAGCCAGTAGCCAAATCAAGACCACCAAGGCCAAATCCTTGAACAAAAAGAGTGATGAATCAGTTCAGGTCTTCATGCTTACCTTGGTGACAGATGCAACCTCTGCTTGGCAATGCAACAGTATACAAGTAACTCAAGGTACTGATATTCATCCTACCTTAACTGTTTTAATGGAACAGTACAAATGCATCTTTGATATGCCTACTACATTGCCCCCTCATAGAGGCATCTTTGATCACAAAATACCACTCATTGACTCAGCTACTCCTGTTAGCAAAAGGCCTTATAGATATCCTGGAATGAAGAAAGATATTATTGAGAAGCTAGTACAAGAAATGCTAGATCAAGGTGTGATACAACCTAGTTCTAGTCCCTATGCTTCACCTGTAGTCCTTGTGGGGAAGAAGGATGGAAGTTGGAGGCTTTGTGTAGACTATAAAGATCTTAATAAATTGACAGTAAAGGACAAGTTTCCTATTTCTATCATTGAGAATTTGTTAGATGAACTAGGAGGAGCTGAAGTGTTCTCTAAGATTGATCTTAGAGCTGGTTACCACCAATTAAGGATGAAGGAAACAGATACCTATAAGATAGCTTTTAAAACTCATGAAGGACTATGAATTTCTGGTTATGCCATTTGGTCTTACAAACGCACCTTCTTCATTTCAGAGTCTTATGAATGCTGTATTTAAACCACTCCTTAGGAGGTCAGTACTCGTTTTTTTTTTTTATGATATATTGGTGTACAACAAGGATATGTCAGCTTATGTGAACCATTTACAAGCTGATTTGATGAAGCAACATCAACTGTTTGCCAAGAGTTCTAAGTGTGCTTTTGGGGTACCTGAGGTAGAGTACCTAGGCCATTTCATTAGTGCTAAAGGGGTAGCTACTGATCCTAAGAAGATTTCTGCAGTACATGTTTGGTCTGTCCCTACAAATATCAAACAACTGAGAGAGTTTCTTAGTTTAACAGGATATTATAGGAGGTTCATTCTGAATTTTGGATCCATTGCTAAACCTCTCACTGAATTATTGAAGAAGGATAAGTTTGTATGGAATGAAGGTGCTACTACAACTTTTCATGTTCTCAAGGATGCATTAGTGACTGCATCTGTCTTAGCATTACTAGACTATGATAAACCATTCATAATTGAGACTGATGCAAGTGGTTCAGGAATTGGTGTTGTCTTGATGCAGCAAGGGCATCGAATTGCCTATATCAGTAAGTCATTGGCACCTAGACATCATGCTATGTGTGTGTATGATAGAGAGCTATTAGCCATCATATTTGCAGTTACTAAGTGGTCTCATTACCTACTAGGAAGACATTTCATTGTGAGAACTGATCAAAAGGCACTAAAACACCTCATGGAACAAAGTATTCATACTGATTTTCAGGTTGTTGGTATTTCTAAATTGATGGCCTTTGATTTTACTATTGAGTTCAAGAAAGGGACTGACAATAAGGCTGCTGATGCCTTGTCAAGAAATCAAAGTGCTGAGTTGTTGGCTGTTTCACTCTTAACTCCTAATGATACACTTTTGGAGAGAATTAGCCTAACATGGACATCTGATGCTGAGTTGCAAGCTGTTATTCTTAAGTTACAAGCAAAGCCTTATAAATTAGACGATCCACCCATTTAATAATGGTTCGAAATCGATTGCAGCATAATTGTTTCTGGCTTGATCTCTTACTTGCTGGGAAGAGCTTCAACTCTACTTTTTTTTTTTTTCCTTTTCATCAATTATTCTTTACGTTTGTTCTTTATTAGTTTAAAGAAATAAATATCAAAAACACACCTAAGCTATCTCATTTTCTTGAGTTTCATACCTAAACTGTTCGAGAGTTGAGTTTCATACCTAAAAAGACATGTATATATCTAATACAAAACGAGAAAAAAAATTAAAACGGAGGGATAGGTGGAGTAGGGTAAAATAACTTTTTTTAAGAAAATAAAATATTACGGTGAAGAGGAAATGATGGAGTGGGGTAAGAAAATTATTTTACATTTTATTTTTAAAAATATTATTTTTTTGGGATAATTTCTTTAATCTTTAATTTTAACTAATAGTAATAATTTATTTAATTTTTGTCAAGGTGAAATGTTTTGTCTATGTGGAGTGTGATGTGATAATTTTTTTTAAATAAAAGAGAGAGTGTAGTACACACACCATGAAGAGAGTGTAATAAAAGAGAGACGTGTGTTTCTTAAACTAATAAGTGATAGTTTAGGTATGAAACTCACTCTCAATAGTTTAGGTATGAAACTAAAAAAAAGGATAGTTTAGGCGTGTTTTTGACGCTTATCTCTAATTTAAATTGATTTTTTTAAAAAAAATCTAAATTTCATTTTCACTAAGTATTAATTTTTTGATACGCGTGTTGTGTGCGTATTCTATAACAATTAGTAAGAAAAAATTTAAATGTCAATAAGAATATATTTAAATAGTAAAAAAAATTTAAAAAGTATTTAAATTTTAAAAATGATGGATATTATTATGTTAGAGTTTTTGAATTCAATGGTTATTTAGTCTTTCACAAGTGTTCACACTAAGTGAAGATGATTGAATTGAACCGATCGCAACCTTCGAAAGTTGAGAATAGTGGATTCACCGCTATATCCTTCTTCATTTAAATACCAATACAAGGCTCAATTGCATGGCATGACTCAAATCTGTGACCCAAGTCAGAAGTCCCTCAACCTTTGCCACTTGAACTAAGCTGCAAAAATTTAATTGACTAATTAATTAGGGATAATGCACAAGTACCTCTAGACCATGACCAAAATTTCAGAGACACACACCTAAACTAAACTAAGGTCCTATTACCCTAACTCATTTTCTTTTGTAATTTTGTAAACCTTTTTGACTTACGTGACATTCAAACACCTCCCACATGCCTCAACTACGTGGAATCACGAAGTGTGCCACTTAAGCTAAAATGTGTATAAAATTACAAAAAGAATGAGTTTGAAGATAATAGAACCTTAGTTAGTTAAGATGTGTCTCTGGAAATTCGATCATAGTCTAGAGGAGTACTTGTGCCTTATCCCAATTAATTATATTATGTCTCAACAATTTCTTTAATCTCAAATGGTTCTTTTCTATCTATGAAGAAAGTAATCTTCTCTATTTTTGAAATGTGAATAATAAACCTTAGATTAGTTTTCTCTTCACCATAAATAAGTTCACATTACTTAGTTAATTCATATTTGGAATGGAGTAACCTAACAAAGCAACTCAATTTTTTTCTTTTTGGTAAACAATAAGTGGGAGCAGTTACACATGAGACAACTAGTATTTGGATGATATTCCACTTGTATAGTGGAAGCAGTTACACATGAGACAACTAGTATTTGGATGACATTTCTCTATCACTTTTTTCCTCTCAAGGACAAGAAAATGGTATCGCCAAAAAAACGTTCTGGCTCTTGACCGCCCACAGAAAAGTAACTAAACAAAACAAAGAACCAAAGACCCAAACTATTCGTCTCTATCACTTTTTTTCCTCTAAAGGACAAGAAAATGGTATCACCAAAAAAACGTTCTTGCTCTTGACCATCCACAAAATAGAAACTAAACAAAACAAAGAACCAAAAACCCAAACTATTCTTCTCTATCACTTTTTTCCTCTAAAGGACAAGAAAATAGTATAGCCAAAAAAATGTTCTGGCTCTTGACCGCCCACAGGAAAGAAACAAAACAAAACAAAGAACCAAAAACCCAAACTATTCCTCTCTATCACTTTTTTCCTCTGGACAAGAAAATGGTATTGCGAAAAAAACGTTCTGGCTCTTGACTGCCCACATAAAAGAAGAGGTCATCCTCATCGTCCGATGATAAACCTCCTTCTTCGGGAGTCCAAAGGCTTACACATATTTATTTAGTGAACATTTGAGTCTGATTTGAATTTTAAAAAATAGAGAGTCATTTGCTATACTGGATAGTTTCAATTAAGGATGAAGAAACTAATAATTGTAAATCAAATTCTTGTTATGCAGGGAAATTGCATTTTAATTATCTAGAGTCGATAAATTTAGGATAAAGCAATATTTGGACAAAATATTAAGGTGTCAAACGCCTAAATGTAGTAATTTATACTTTATTTACTAGGGGCACTAGCAAAATCTATTGATTCAGAAATCTTTTAATCTGGTTGAACTAAGCTTCAGGAACTTAATTGACTAATTAATTATATTTTATCTAAACAACTTATTTAATCTCAAGGGATTCTTTTCTATCTATGAAGAAAGGATTCTTCTCCATTTTCGAAATATGAATAATAGACCTTCATTAGTTTATCTGAATGGAGTAACCACACAAAGAAACTCAACTCAATTAGTGTTTTTTTTCTTTTTTCTTTCAAAAAAAATTAGATGAAAGCAGTTACACATGAGACAACTAGTAATTGGATGATATCCCACGTGTACCGTGTATTCTTAGCATTGTTTTCTGTTCTATGGACTACTTATACAACTATTTGGATTAGATTGTGTTGTTTTAAACCAGTTTTTCCGGTACAATATTAGGAAAAATGTATTAACAATTGCTGATACATATATTCAATTATACTTTGATCATCAATCCACACATAAAAGTTTCAAAATTTTGAAAATACAACTTATATATTTAAAAATTATGCAAAAAGTATTATAAATCACAATAATTAATAACTTAAATCTTTAAGAGACATATAAGGAAATTCTACTCAAAGAAACTTTGTTTGACTTTTGAAATTTCAAATGTGCTACTCTTTAAAATGAACGTTTTTTACAAAAACCACATTAAAAGCTTATTTGAAATGATTTATTTTTTAGCTTATTTTTTATCATTTTAATTTAAAATCAAGTACTTATAATACTTTTTTTTTAAATTTACCTAAATTCTTTAAAAACAATTTTTTCTTAAAAAATAAAACTCCATAAAATGGATTAATTTTTCTAGAAAGTCCTAATTTTGTTTTTTTTAAAACTTTATTTCCTCGCAACTATCAGCCCCTACCTGTCTACTACTCCTTTCAAAAAACCAATAAATACTGCTAACCAAAACTAATCAAAACCAAACACCCAAGCTATTCTCTCTATCACTTTTTTCCTCTCAAAGAGAAAAAAATGGTATCGCCAAAAAAATGTTCTGGCTTTAGACCTCCCACCAGAAAAAAAAGGAAAAAGAAGTCATCATCATCGTCCGATTATAAACCTCTTTCGCGATGTCTAAAGGTTCACACAGATTAATTTTTTACTTTATTTTTTCTAAGTGTTTGCTGAGTCAGTTGATTTTTTTTATTTTTTTTTCTTGTGGATTGATATCAAATAATTTTTTTTAGGTAAATGATAACAATGTGGGTTCATCTGGAAAATCGGTGCCGCTCTTGGAGCATTCGAATGAGTTATGCTCGACTGATCAATCGAAACTCTGTGGCAACTGCTCGGCTGATGAAAAAGTTGACGATGCGTTTGGCCGAAAAGTTGGCGACGTAGCTGTTAGAAAAGCTGTCACAGAAGGCAAGCGTTTTTTTTCATTACTAGCTCAATCCATTTTAACGTATATAAGTGTCTGTTTGGATTTTGATTGTATTTTAGTGCCTTTTGATTGATTTTTGTTACTTAAACATAAAATTAAGTGTTTATGATTTTAATTTTTTTTTGTTTTAAATTTTTTCGAAAAATATTTAAAAATTATTTTAACTTAAAAGTACTTAAAATAATCCAAATTCAAACAGGCTCTAATCCAAACATCATAAGTTAAAATTCATAAGGATTTTTGACTTGTTTTTATCATTTTAGTTTAAAATGAAGTGCTTATAACTATTTTTTGAATTTATTCAAACACTTCAAAAGTACTTAAAATTTATTTTAAATATGTTTTTAAGTCTATTTTTAATATAATAGGGAAAAAAATTAGAAAATAAGTGATAAATTAGCGTGAAATAAGAAAAAATGTAGAGAATATGTGTAGTTTATTTATGTTTTTTCATTTTCTTGAGAAGTTCACTGTCTCTCTATCTTTGATGATATTGAATGCACGTGTCATTCAGGTGCTGAAACGAAGAAGCCTTGGTGCCAACTTTTATCTGAGTTTCCGCAGGTTTTCTATTAGTAGTATTTTTTTTAAAAACTATTTCTTTTTGTTTCTGTCCGGGTGTCCGTATTTGCATTAGATCCTTATTAATTCAGATTTTCACTGTTTAGGGCCCCATTAAGCGGAAAGTATATCAAGGATTTTTTCATATTCAGGACTCAAACACAAACTCGAGATCTCTGGTTAAAATAGAAACAACGTCATCCACTGCAACACTGGTTCTTTATCTATTTTTGCTGTTGAATTTTTTTGATATAATGTGAATACACTGCAGAACTTTTGTTTGATATCTAATAGAATGTGAATACATTGCAGAATCCAACAGTGGAGATTTCTGGGCAACATTTCATGGCTGGTGCGGGCAAAGACCTTCCCGAACATGCAATGATTTGTGTGATAAATCTTGAAGAGGTAGTGCTCTAATTTGGATTAGCTTGACTTTCCTCACTATTTAATGTTGCTTTGTTCAATAGTTAGGAACGATTTGGAAAACCACCTGAAAATCGAGTTTGGTGTAATTACATTGTTTGACAAGTTTGTTTAATAGTAGGAAGTCAAATTGGGAGTAGTTACACAGTTTGATGTGTTTGTTTGACAGTAGGAAATTGAGTGTAATTGGAAGGGGTAATTATGTAATTTCAAGGTTACTTTTTAACCTTTTTATTTAATTTTAATTTCTTTTTTATTTCTATTTTTAATTTTTTTTAGATTGTTTTTTAATTTTTAAAAAATATATTTTCATTTTATATTATTTATCTTTCATTTCCAAACATTTACTTCTTGGGATTTAATGTAATTGTTGTATTTTTTTTCTTTTCATTTTCCTCATTTAACGTAATTACATTATTATTCTAAGTTTTTAATTAAAGTAGAATTTTATATTGCATAATTGCGTTATTATCTCATAATATTTGTATGTTACATTTTCGATCCCAATTTATTTGCTCTAGTAGTATTGACTTGTTATTTCATATTGCATACCATTCATCTTTTAGTTAGAATTAATAGATTTTCCTTTTGTTGAACATTTGAATAATTTTATTGCATTATATTGCATTATATTTATCATATTAAATTTTTTTGTCCAATATGGAGTTCATGATGTTCTTATAAAATGTGTACTTTTAGCTTTTATAATTAATTAAATTAAACTATTATTGATTATGGAAATATATGTCAATTATTTTTTACAATATTAGTTACAGATATATGTTTATTAATTAATATATTTTCTAGAAATACTATACCTTAAACACCTAATTTAATATCATTTATAAAGGCATGTTTGTTTAATATTATTTTTTATTTTAAAAATTTAATCTAACTGTGTAATTGCACTTGTGCAACCAAATAGTATGCTTGTAATTACATTGACAAATAACATGTTGTAATTACTATACTGTGTAATTAGTAGGGTGTATAATTACTACCTGGTGATATCACCATTTCTAACTATTATGTGGCTTTCCAAATAGACCCTTAAAGTCTCTCTGCCATAATTCATAGACATCACCATCTACTAGTGAATATTTTAGTTTGAAGATTCTTTTGGACAATGCATTGTTTCCAATTTATTTGGTCCGATATATCTGTAGGATCTTCAAAATTTCTCTTTGTGCATTGCAATATTCCCTGGAACCTCTTCAGGCATTATGAGCAAACTACCTTTTGGGCTAAGTTGTGCGGACTCTTAACTTTCGATGTCGCACCCGTGTCGGATTCTTCAAAAATACACTACTTTGGCGAATCTGGCACGCACCCCTTGACATTATTGAAGAGTCTGAGCAACATAGCTTTTTGGCGCTCTTCCTTAGAGGTTACAATAGCAATTTGAATCTGAACATGTAGCACATGGAAGGACCACATTAGTTGGCATTTATTTGACTGTTATCTGAGATGAGTTTTACATTGTATATACAGTATGATTAATCATTTTTTGTGGAAATGATCAGTACCAAAACTCGCTGGCTTTGATTGAGAGGAAGGGAAGCAGAGAACCCGTGCGGTTCAATGGAAATGCCCTTGGGTGGAATACTAGTGGCCTTCTCAATTCAGGCGATCAGATCGTCTCTGGTCAATTGGGAAAATATGCTTATGTATCCTTCCCATATGGCGTTGGCTTAGGTGGTCTCTGTAAAGATTCTCATGGATACTTCTGCAAAGGTACTTTTGGAATGCCATTTAACTATTTTCCTTTAGTTTATTAAGTTAAACATTCTTAAGTATGCAGTCTTAGTTTTACTTTCAATTCCTGTTATTATTTCTTCCTCTCAGTCAGTGAGCTGTGCTTAGACGCCCCGGCTGTAGATGCTCCGGACAAGTTACTCGCGAACACATTGTTTGAGGTGTGAATTCTTTCTATGAATCTGAACAGTGCAATGTGGAATTTCTGTTCCTTCCTTTTTTGGGTTAAACTTTACTCTTTACATTTCATTATACTTTTTCAGGTTGTATTCAATGAGAGCCGGAAGTCGCCATTCATTTTGTTCGTGAAAGATGCTGACAAAGTAATGGGAGGAAACTCAGAATTATATTCAACATTTAAAAGTCGGCTTGAGAAGCTTCCTGATAATGTAATTACTATTGGTTCACACGCTCATACAGATAATCATAAGGAGAAGGTACTATTTGAGATCATATTGCCCACGAATAGATGCATGCGATTATATCTTTTCCTGTTTTATAATGTGTATACAGTGTATTAAGAGGCATGTTATGAAAATTTATTATGGATTAAATATCTTGGCTATAGTAGTTATTGGTGCCAAAACATTGTTAGACTGAGGATTGATCAAGAGAATGAGAGGTGACTCCTAGTACAACAAAAAGATTAAAAGATCATCTTCGAATCACAAAAGAGATATTAGTCTTGCTATATCACTAGATCTCTTTCTTTTGTATATACATATAGTTTCATTCATAAGCATGGCCACAACGGCCGTATACAAGAGATGTACCTAAAAGTAGAGAATTTACAAAACAATATGATTCTCTACAAACTCCCATCCAATCATATATACAACAAGAAACTTTTTGAGTGCACCAAAAGAAAGTAAGAGAACAAACCCTACTACACCTTCAAAAGCTCTCTTGTTTCTGTCTCTCCAAACGACCCACATTAGCGCTAGTGGAATCATATTCCAATCCCTTCGTCTTCTCCTTCTCATGCCCTTCCAATTGAACATCAACGCTCTTATAGTGTTTGACATTGTCTAAGAAGTGCCAAACCACCCAAACATATCCCATCATAGCATCATAGTCAATCACAAATCCTACTTTTTGGAAAATTTAGGATTTGAAATCATGATCTCAAATCACATGTCAAAGACATCCCAAACTGCATGTCCAAACGCGTCCTAAATTTCTAATGTTGAATTGAAGTCAAACTCGGTATTAACGACAGTAGAAAGGAAAAAAACTGAGAAAATAATTTATGAAATCGAACATTTGTGCAACATTCTTTCATAATCATAAATGAGGTCTCTTTTTCGACAATACTTCCCTCATTAGTTAAGTTTTGTGGTTGAGTTAGGCCTAAGATGATGTAACATGGTATCAAAGTTGGGAATATTCCAATCATTATTTATCGATGTTATGTCCCCATTTATATTGTCCATGCTCGAGATGCACAGTCATGGGGGCTGGGAGTGGAGTCCTACATCTTTTATATATATATATATATATATATATATATAATACTCACTCTGTTTCAATTTGTTTGTCTGGTTTTGTTTTGATACGGAGTTTAAGGAAGTAAAAAAAAAAACTTTTGAATTAAAGATATGTAGAATTTAACAAAATGCCTTTAATCTTGTATTCTTAAACATGCATGTGAAAAGTAAGAATTAAAAAGTTGTCAAAAAGGGAAAGATACATTATTTTGAAACGGACTAAAAAGGAAAATGAGATGAATAAATTGAAAGGAGGCATAATAATTTTTCTATAAATAGATTCAAGTACTATATTTCTTAAAATGCGCAAATGCAACAGAAGATAGGGAAAAGATCATGTAACTGTGATTTATATGGTAAATAATTAGTACTCTATCTTGAATACCATATTGAATGATCAAATAATATTTGATTGTTCTGGTTGCTTATGGTAATTGTGCCCATAATAGTTAACCCAACCATATAAATATGGACCGACAATACGTAGCAAGCAAAAAGAGTATTTGGTTAATCATTTACGAATAATCAAGCAAAAAGAGTATTTGGTTATGGAACCCCGGAGGTGGACCAATGGTTTGGGCTTGGAATTTCCATGTTGGAGTTCTCAAGTTCGAAATCCCTTGCTAGTGAAAGCAAGAGGTTTTCCTTCTGGGTCGAGCTCGTCGCACCAGGCTTGCCTAGTGCGGGTGTTCTTTTTGGCTTTTGACAGGTTAAATAGGACATGCATACTTTCAGCTAACTAAGCATATGGACTTAGATAACAGGTTATGGAGGACTTGAAGTAGGATAAAAGGTTAGTTAGGTAGTTGAATGTTGTTTCACCTATTCTTCCAAACCAGTAATCATAATACTACTTTGTAATTTCTTATTACTTGATTTTCTGTTACTATTTGACGTTTCCTATACTTCGATTATCGTCTTATTTGGTTGTAGTTATAGTTACATTTTAAGAATCTACAAGTTCTTGCTTGCTTTTTCTTTCTTCTATATATGTTGTAGTGGTAGTAGTAGTAGTGATCTATTTGGGTTTTTTTTGGCAGCATCATATTCCTGCTAATGTGGCTATAGATGGAAGAATTATCAATTTGGGATTGTGGAAAACTGAAGCTACTTTTTATTTTAATAGATTTACATAGCCTCTTGATCTTTGATTTGTGTGCTTAGTTAACAGTATTATGAGATTATCTTATGAATTTTTATTTTCCTGTGTGTTTTAAAGGTCAAGAAAATTATAGCAGGTTATTTGGCTGGTTGTAGAGTTCAAACAGGTATTTTCACCACAATTAACTTACTTAGTTGCTTTATTTGGTTAACTTTCTGAACATAAGGTAGAAAACAAAGACTTGCTACCATGAAATTTGATTTAAATTCCTGGCTTCTAAAGGCCATGTGCAAGAACTTTCCAATGCCATAAGCAGATTATATTTTCTACTACATTACGGAAGCCTTGGCATAACATGTAAAGTTATTGCTATGTGATTAGAAGGTCAAAAGTTTGAGCCGTAGAAACAGGATAAAGTTGCATACAATAGACTCTTATGGTCCAACCCTTCCCCGTACAAGCTGCCCTTCCACTGCATTATTATTCTCTCTATGATATTTGCTTTTTCTTTGTTATTTTTGAATGACACTTAGTTAAATCCACAGGAAAATGCTGCTGGTGATCTCTTCTCTTTTCATTCAATTTTTTGGACACGAAGGGCTATCATCTAAGCAGAGAAATAAATACACAGGAAGAAAGACGCAAAGGAATATGGGAGTTAACACAGAGCTCTTTTCTCTCAAATAGCCTAATCTCACTTTTACGTGCGTGTATTTTTCATTAGTTGTATACTAAAATTCTTTCAATATAGCTTCATTTTCCTCCATCTTTGCTCCTTTTACCGTTGGGCCCGTGCCAGCACGGGCACCACCTATCTAGTATATATAATAAATGTTGAACTCCATTAGTGAAAATCTTGATTCCGTCAATATGATTTGATAGTTAAATCACAAATTCACGAGTTAATTCTGCTATTTACGTGGAGAAGGGCAGAGTAGCAAATCCATCATTCTTTAGCTTTGTCTATAGTTGGCCTAAAAGATAAGTTTTGGATGAATTTCTCAATATCATTAAAAGAACAGATAATTAATTAGGAATCATGGCATTTAACTTATACTAATTGTAGAGTGATGGATAAGGTTCGAATGGCGTTTTAGTGGTAAGTCTAAACATTGAAAATGGTGGTTCAGATATTTCTTGCATTCATTCACAGTTAAAAATAACCGATTTGATTTTGCAATTTTTTACAAAATTATTTTTTACTTTATCTTCATTTTTTTACTATAAAAAATATTTAAAAGATCATTTCTTCCATCGGTAAATAATCATTTATTTGTTTGAGCTGAGGGTGTTTTGGAAATAAACTCTCCGACACTTTTTGAACCTCATTTTACCAACATAGATTGTGGTACATTGGTGGGATTGTTTTACCCTGAACTAAGGATTTTTTGGTCCGAACTCTGGATATAGAGAAAATCTTGTTAGGAGCGCCATGAGTTCTAGATATGGACAAAATCTTGTTGGAAGTGTCACCTATAAATGAACCTACTATGCATTTATCGGATTTAGTCGAAGCTTCAATACGGAGATTCAAAAATAATTTTTTTTTAAAAAATGATTGTATATTGAACTTTCCTTTCTCTTTCTCTATTAAGAAAAAATAAAAGATCGTAAAGTCAAAGGGTCATGACAAGTGTGAGGGGTAGTTTAGGCATTTCATCTAGCGTCACTCGGCTTTGACGGACCAATCGCTATCCTTTTCTACGTGTTAAGAAACAACTTCCCTCAGCGATATTTCATTTGTACCGATCCAAAGAGCTCATTTCAATTTCACCCCAATTCAGATCGAGATCCAGAAGAAAAAACCCTAATTTTGTTTTCAGATCCAAAATGGACGCTCTCGATACTGTTTTCGATCCTCTTAGAGATTTCGCCAAAGACAGCGTTAGGCTCGTCAAAAGGTGCCACAAGCCTGATCGCAAAGGTACATCATCTATATACTCTTGTTGTTTTTGTGGATGTAGTTTTCGTATTTATCTATATGGAGATCTATGGTTTATGTATCATTTAAATTTGATTGTTTGTGGTACAGAATTTACCAAGGTTGCAACCCGTACGGCGATCGGTTTTGTTGTGATGGGATTTGTTGGATTTTTCGTCAAGTTGATATTCATTCCAATCAACAACATCATCGTTGGTGCTTCTTAAGTGGTAATTTTTCTGCTTTACCTCTTGTTAGTGCGACTCGGTATTTTAAATCATGATGAAAGTTTGTTGATGGCTAGTTGTTTATATATGATGATTGGTTGTTAGATATCTTTTTTTTTGTGGGACTTGCTTGGTTAATTGCTGGTTCTATGTTGTATTATAGCCTGGATAATCTTACACTGTTAACATGTAGAATGATCTTATTTGGTACACGATATACATGCAGGTAAATTTAAACATACTTACAAATTGCTCTCAGGTTTAATTATGTTAGGATATGTCGTACAGTGGGCTTGCATGTACTAATATTCAAGTGGTGGCATAAGTTGAGTCAAAGGATCAAAATTGAGCACTTTTTGCCTTTAGAAAGCTTACCCTTAGCTGTACCCGGGAAATGTTGGAGTTTCTACATATAAATGGAGCTTGGGTTCTGTGTGATAGATCTAAGTTGATAATGTTACGTTACAGGGATTCTGTTATAGAGATTGGAACATTGGTTCCTCAATGTTAATAAAGCTTTTTTTTCAATTTGGTGCTCCAATAAGTTACTTCAGAGAAGGCATAATGCTCAAGGTAGTTCATCCTAATCAATATATAGTCAGTGGGATTCTTGTAAAAACAATAATATCATCATTTCATAATGCTATGCTGTCTCCTTAATTTTCACTAGCTAGGACAGACATCATTTAAAATCAAGAGGATAGTAGAAACATGATTATCTCGGAGTTGAATGTTGATTGATAAATATATCTTTTGCCTATTAAAAAATCTTAAGATATAATATGTAATTATATCTGGTGGATTCAGTTTGGTAATAACATCATTATGTGACTAGACATTCTCTCTTTTTTGATCTTCTGTTTTGTGGCATTCTTGTTTTCACTTAATTCTCATGGATACCAATTCCAACCACACTCCAGCTCCTGAAAGAAATGAAAGAGTAAACACACTCTTGCCCTCTTTCTCTTCTTTATTTTATCTGTCCAGATGTCATGAGGAATTCATGTTCCTATTAGTGCTATCAAGAAAAGAAGAGATATAATCACACACATAAGAAATAAAAGGAAAATTTGAGTAGTAATATCAGCAAAAGTGAATATACTAATGATTATGGCATGGTGTCTTTGAAGTTTCTCCGTTGTCATGCTTTTCAAGTTGATCACATCTAAATGTGTTTATAAAGCCAATTCCACTAATTTGGGGTTGAGATTTTTAGCATGTTTAGCCGAGCTTTCAAATTTTGCTTAATTTGAGAAGTGCTTTTAGAGTAAGTACTTTCGGAGAGTACCAGTTTGTGATTTGCCAATCAATTTGAAAAATACTTCTGTTAATATTAGGGGAAAGCCATCTTAGTAGCTTTTGAAAAGCTACTTCAGCTACTCCAAAGCGCTTCCCTTTTTTTTTTTTGAAATACTGGGCCAAACACCTAGCTTTTAGAATAAGTACAAAGAAAAAAGCACTCTTGGCTTCCCCAGAAGCTTTTGGCCAAACAAGCTATTAGTTGATTGAACGATATGTATGCTATGGTGATATTCATCTTTAACCTTGCTAAGTTATCTTTGATATTGATCCTTCATCCTTTTCTTTTTGACCGCGAATGGTGTATGAAATTTGTTGAATTTCCAATACTTTGTTTCTTTCTAGAGTGCTTTATCAATTCCCTTGCCTGTAATACCTGGGACTACCAACTAATATTTGTTGATTTATGTAATGATCCTCCGCAATGAGACACTGAACTCTCTATGTGTGTAACTGCAGGTATCGTGAAGGAGAAGTACAACTGGAGATGTAGAGCAAGAGATAAAAAGTGGTGCAAAATCTTAGTTTCATATTGTAATCCGTAACAGTTGGTATACCATGTAGTCTTATTTCTGAACCGCCTAGTTGATGGGGATTGTCATCTGAGTTGCCCCCCTCAGCTCGCATTCCCCTCACCCAATCCGTTTTCAGATTTTGTAAACTTTGCTGTTGATGTCAAGACTTCCTTTTTTTTTTAATTCTACTTTTTTCACCTTGGTGGGTACAGTTTTGAACGTTCCTTGATAGAGATTTCTGTTATGGTGGAAGGAATTATTAAATGAGTTTGAAATGGATGCTGAGGAAGGGGAATATCCTTTAGTATCAGAAGTTGATCCTCCCGTCTCCTAAATCCTGCTCTTGTGGAGTGGCACAACCAAGAAAAATTATGTTTAATAGTCCATGAAACGCTTTATTTGAAGCATGATATATTTCAATTCTTCAAACTTATCCGTCTTGGTCTTAATTAGACTTTCAAAAATAGATGGAGAGGTGGGAACGAAGTGGCAAAATACTTTGTCAATAACAACTCTGAACTTCAAGGGAGAATGGTGATGAAAAAGATTGAAATAAAGATTCTAGTTAAATGGGTTTTGCGGATTATCTCTTTCCTTTAGGGACATAGTCAGCTTTGTAACAGAAACCAAACTCCGTCATGGATGTGGAGTTCATTACGAACTCCTTGAGATAATCATATTGGAGCATCCAAATTCGACGATTTACCCAACGAAAGAAAAGAAGTGTGTTTTACACCTCAATTTTATTGTAGATAGTTTCCTTGAAGCAACAATTTTTGGACTTTAGAACATCAGCTAAGTAGTAAAGTTAACAGATAAAAGGTGTTCAAGGATTCTCAATTTTGTTCCATCACTGTAATAGCCATATAAATTGGTATGCACCTCTATATTCCGTGTTCTTCCAAAAGATCAATGCACTTGTCTCGTGCAGTTATTTTGAGTGCCCATCATTGTGGCAAATAAGTCATATAAACCAACTGATTAGAAACAACAAAAAATTCTACATCTGCAGGCATATTACCAGCTTTTGTTATCTTCACGAAGATTGCACGAAAACAAGAAAACTATAAACACTATCCAAGAACTTAAAAGAGAGAAAGTAATGAGAAAGAATATACAGCTACATGTGAACATAGCCATATCAGCATATAGCACTGGCAGCTAGCAACCCCAAAAGGATTTTAAAGAGTAAAATCCAGGAATACACAAAAGTCAAGTTTTATACAGACAAAGATTCAAGTCGGTTACAGTTAAACAGTATCCATGGACAGAAGCCATAAAAGGTGGATTCACATTTGAGAGAAGAAATTACATTTCACTATCATAACCATTAGTTTCACATGTGCTCTTTAGCCTCCAAACCGGCAGCAGCGAGATCTTTTAACTGCAGCAAAGGAAAAGGGAGAAAATTTAGTACCAAGGTTTAATGGTTGGACAAAATGGATAGGGTTTTTAGATCCTGAAGAATAATCATACGAAAAAAACCATAAATCATGAAGACACAAAAA